TTTAAGCATGGAGCCATCTCTGTTACACATACTACTCAGCTTCCAAACAGTCTGTGCTGAGAGATTTCTCATAAGTCCCCAGGCCATGACGATGCTGTCAGAATGCAAAAAATTTCAAAGAGCAAGTGAGAGGCTGGCACACATTCAGATTGGGGCTCACAGGGGCATCTGTGGGTCCAGAGAGAGTCCTGGAGTTCAAGTCAATAGCTTTGAATTCAGATTCAGACTGCAACTAACTGGGGATCATGAGCACAGCTTTCAACCCTTTTGACCTTCATCTCTTTAGCTATTAAATAGACAGAATACTACCCTTGGATTGTTGTTATGCTGAAATGAGACAACATGAAGATGTCTTGTGCAATGCCTGGTCAAAGTTCATACTTAATAAAGATTAGCGGAAACAGAATCTTGTCCTCAGTCTTTTTGGTTCAAAAGCTTGACTTCATTAGCTCGCTGAAAGAGGTATTTAGCTGCTGGCAAAGCAATTCAGAAAATCCAAACTCTAAAGAGATCATCCTATAACTTGTATGCAAATTTATTTATTACCCAAAGAAGACTGGCTGGCAGAATAACTACTCTTGAGAAATACACTCTTGGGGTCAGTGAAAAAATTGTGGTCGGTTCGATGACCATTATTATCATTATTTTATCATGTGCTTGGCACGCATTAGTGCTCGAGGTACACTGATGTATAAACCTCATCTATGTCCTTAATGAAAACATAACCATGAAAATGTAACTGCCACACGGTGAGATACTGGCAACAAAAGAAGATACCGAGGCAACACAGAAGAGAATGGGGAGCTTCAGGGAGGTTCTGGAAGGCTGACAGAGGAGATAAATAGGCAGAGTTTTCCGAGGATGGAGTTGACCAGGTCGACAAGAGGAAAGAATGAACATTGTAGCCAGAGGCACTAGCATGGTGACAATAAGTCACAACTGCTGTGGTGTGAGGTGGAAGGCCAAGGAGTTTCAGTGGGTGGAGAAGGAGGGCGCAGTGGTACCTGGAGCTGGGGAGGCAGGCTGCAGCCACATCAGAGAGATCTTTTCAAGTCTGCTAAGGAGCTGGGATTTTATGCTACAGAGCTCGTGGGAGAGGCTAATACCTTGGGCATCACACGGACCCAGGTTTGATTTCTTTTTTGTCACTTTGTGACTTAGGCAAGATACTTCTGCTCCTTAAGCCTCAGTTTCCTCATCTGTGAAAAGGGGTTATTAATAGTAGTTCCTCATACAGTTTTCATGAGAAATACATTTCATGAAAGAATGTATGAGAATTATTTAATTCAATGACTGGCACATAGTATGTGCTCAATAAATGGTTACTATTAAACCATTGTTACTATTATCACTCTTAGTATTACTAGGATAGACTATTCTTTCAAGGTGCTAAGTAAGAAGGGAAGTAGAAGAGGTCTAATAATGATTAAAAGATTATTTGATGAACACGATCTAAGGATAAAGAGCACTGGCTTTTAAGAGACATTTCTATTGCATGTTCGAATTCAGTTAATTAACACTGACGGCCTCAATGGACAAACCCTGAAATCTCAACGACTTAACACAAAAAAGGTTTTTTCACTCACAGTCCAAGACAGGTTGGGGCCGCTCTCCTACAGGGTTCTCCAAGTTGGTGTCTCTTCTATCTAGTAGCCCTGTCACATGGCACACTTGGCCTTCAAGGTTACTGGGACAGGGGAAAAGAGATACCGAGGAGGCACGTGGACTGTTAACTGCCTTACCCTAGAAGTGACACACTTCAATATCACTCACGTTTAATTGGCCAACATGGCCCCAAGACCCCATTGAATCCCAAAGGAGGCTGAGAACCGAGGAGGAGAGTGAGGACACTTGGTGAGCACTGGCATTCTTTGGCACAACCTTCCTCAGTGTAGATACCGACATCGGTCACCAACTGGAGAATTCTTTGGCCCTTGAGCAGTGCTGGGATGATGCTGGGGTGATGCTGGCACATGCTCTCTAATCCAGGCAAATACCTTCCCTTTGGTTCTGGCAGTGTAACCTTGGGCATATTGCCATAAATCAGATCAGGCTGCATAGTCTATTTATTATACTTAGATCTCCTTTACATTTTTAGGCGATGTTGTAGGTATGTTTGAATTTTGGAAGTTCAAAGTTGATTTAATGGTGAAATGGAGATAACTTGTTCAGTGCTTCTTATAGTATATTCCTTGAAATCCTGGTTCCTATAAAATATTTGCTTAAAGAGAGGGCTCTATGGTCCAAAAAAAGGTTTGGAATGCACCGAGTTTTTTGTTTTTGTTTTTTGACATAAACAGTACTTATTTTTGATACTAGATCAGCCTTCTTCCCCCTTTTTCTCTAGTTTTTTAAAAAATAATTCACTTATAAATATATTATATGCTCATATTAGAAAATTAAACAATATTAAAAAGTAGAAAAAATAAACTTTATTGATAATCCCACTTCCCAGTCACTGTGTGTGGGAAACACTGAGTAGGGCATCACTCTTTGGTGCAGCGGAAGTAGCAGTAAGCATATTAATGGATCTAAAAGGTCTTGCAATAAGTTGCCTGCCTAAACTTTTTTTTTTAGATCTATCGTGGAGTCTATCCCCACACATTTTTCCTACAGGACACACAATAATTTCCCAAGAACTAGTGTTCCAGGGCAAACAAGACCCAGTGTAATCGGCGACATATTTGCAAATCCTTGCGTGGAGTGGTCTCCTTTATCTTATGTTGCCAGACTCTGGTGACAGAGGGTGATGTCGCTGCCCGGGTCTACCAATCTAGGAGTTGCTTTCACACAGAACTAATGGCCGGGATGGTCACAGGGCCCGAGGTGACACAGTAAGCTACAGTCAAAGGCAGGTGCAACGAGAACCTCTCCTCCCAGGCCTCAGCCACCTTTGATCTGCCCACATGCCCACACATCTGATGCCTCTAAACCTGGCTGTGTCACTTCTGTCTCTGAATAATCTGTGAGAAAGGTGAGCCCTGGGGTTGAGGAATCCTGATTCATCCAGCCAGTCAACCCCTTACGAGAAGATAAGAAAGGGTCAACTTAGCTGTTCCCTAACCCTGGGCAGAAGTGGTGTGGTCCCAGATGAATGGGTGTCTCAGCTTCTTAGAAAGTTTCCAGAAAAAAGGAGACTTTAGAGGCTCCCTTTGACAGCCAATCCTATGTAAGTTTCTCCTGTATCAATTTAAATCCTCTTCTTACTTTTTTTTTATTATCAATGACCAGAATTAATAAATACTTTCTTGTGCTGTGCTCGTGGAAGAAAAGCTGGCTAAAATTATGGGGTGAGAGGAGAAATCTCATGAAGTAGTGGAAAGCATAACCTTGAGTTTCTTGAAGGGTCTGCTGGTCACCCAGCCATACTGACATAGCCTCTTTCCTCTTTACAGGAATGGACTATAATATCTCTCTTAGGCAGCACAGAGAGCCCACACTATTCCCCACACAGGACATCCCAGACTCCTCTACCTGTTCATTTGTGGCTGACGCCATCTCTATCACTCACCAATGCCCCCACAGAGTTGTTCCCCATGGGGTAAACACCTTGGTTGTTATTATGCTTTGTGATTGGCTCATTGGAGGCTGTGTCAGCCAATTACCCCAGGTACCATCTTGTCACCCCATGAGGGCCCCAAGGGGAGCCCAGTCTCCAGGGTATATCAGAGGTCACAGCAATGAACCTCGTTGTATGTAGCAGTCTGTTTCACATTTATCCCGAATGTCCCTGGTACTAAGGCCTGGGATGAGCAAGGGGTTAATCCAGAGGGACCTGTCAATCTGATGGCGGGAAATAGGACATATACCTAGTACTCATGCTGAGGAGTAAGAGTGATGAAACAGAACCCCGCCTGGGTGCCAGAGGAGCACTATGGGAAGGGGTCATTTCTAAGAGAATAAAAGAATAGAAGGCAACTTAAGTTGGAGGAAAGAAAATTGGGTTGGATCGAAGAAAGCTAACACAGAATGAAGTTCTAGAGTGACATACGATGAAGTTCTAGAATCTGGTTCTTAGTTTCAGACTTTTTCTCAGCCTTTCTTGACCTGTTTCTAATAGTTGGTCACATATTGATCCAGAATCAGTGACAGCAGGTCAGTAAATGTCCCAATTGGAGGTTCCTTGGATTAAATAAATGATGCTCTTCCACTATTCAAGAAATAAAACAAAACTAAAAACTAAAAAAAAAAAAAAACCTCAGGAAAGACCACCGTCCTAAAGTTTTCCCCTGCCATCTCCACAGGCCTTCTTTTTCTTGCCTGCCCAGCTATTATCTCCCTGCTCTTATTCCAGAAATGCTTTTCTGGAGAAACCTTTCATCTATGGCCCAAAGTCACCCCCCAGCACTTGTGATCAGGGTTCTCAGTGACCTTAAGTCTGTCGCTGTGTCTTGCCTCCCCTAGCATACTGAGAGTCTTGCAGATAGGCCAGAATCTTCACTTTCCCAACTTCCTTCCAGTACTCAAGACAGAGCCGTCCTCATCCAGAAGCCCAAGGAAGCATCAGTGGATAGGCTAAGGATGATTCTCTGGAATATTCTTGACCCTGGTAATATCCTTCTGAAGCAGAATCAGCCTGGACATCTGCTTCTCCAGACCTCCCACTTCATCCCACACACTCAGAGAGGCCAGACGCCCTGGAAACTTCCACTGGAGATCTCAGCAGTGATAACCTCAGTAATTGGAGGGCAGTAACTAGAGATAAGGCAGTCAAATTATTATAATCCAGGAGGCAAGCAAAGCAAATGCAGGGTTCTGGGCCATTTTATAGGGGATTCATGGGGAGTTCAGGAAGGAAGAGACAAAAATCTCAGAGAGGAATGGTAATTTCCAAGAGATCCCATACGGCCTAAATGATGTTCCCTACCTACGAATTAGGCTGACTCCAGCCCGCCCAGCCTGCACACAGCTATTTAAGAGGTGAGCGAGGGCAGTAGGTCCAGCCGCTCTCTGTACAGTCTCCTGTCTCCCGCACCACCTAGCAGCACATCCTGGAAACCATGAGCCGCCAGCTGCACCCCTACCCCGGCGGGGAGCGCCTGGGCTTCAGCGGTTGCTCCACAATCATCTCGGGCAGGGTCAGCAGCAGCTCTGCCTCGTTCAGGGCCGGAGTCAAGAGCACAGCCGCCTTTGGTAGCAGGAGCCTCTTCAACCTGGGGGGCGGCCGGCGCCTGGCCCTGAGCACCTCGGCCGGGCGGGGCGGCACCTTTGCACTGGGCCACTGCGCTGGTACTGGTGGCCGCCTGGGGGGCTTTGTAGGCACCATCTTTGGCAGCGCCGGCCTGGGGCCTGCATGTCCATCTGTGTGCCCGCCGGGAGGCATCCCTCAGGTCACCGTCAACAAGAGCCTCCTGGCCCCCCTCAACGTGGAGGTGGACCCCAAGATCCAGAAAGTGCGCTCCCAGGAGCGGGAGCAGATCAAGGCGCTGAACAACAAGTTTGCCTCCTTCATTGACAAGGTGGGTCCTGGAGGATCTGTCCGTGCATTGGTGACCACTGTACACAAGGGTGCTAGCTCTGCCACTGACAGCTAGCTGCATGGGAACTGAGCCTCCCTTTCCTCATCTATAAAATGAGCAAAAAGTGGCTCTTACTCCCTAGGGCTGTAACGAGAAGGAATTGGATGTTTATAAAATGCTTAGAACAGTGCCCAGCACACATGCTGGATAAATCGGAGCTTCATTCCTTCTTTGCAGGAGAAGACCCTGGGAAGGAAGCGGGGTGCATAAGGGGCAGGAGATGCAAGGAATGGGTCCTCTGAGGGCTTTCAATGTCAGACAAAAAGATGGAGACACACATCCAGGACAAGGACACTAGAGGGACACAGGCCAGCAGGTGTCACAAGATATGATGCTTGGTGCATGGGGAAGGATTTGGAAGACAGGAAGTGGGCAAGAGTGTAAGCCAGGTAAGTTTGTAGAGGAGATGGGAGAAAAGGGCCAGAAAATTGAAGGACGGGCCTGAAGGAAGAAGAAGCAGAGGAGGGCATGTCAAGTTACATGTGTGTATTGTGTGTATATGTGTTGAGTAACAAGGAAGATGTCTCTGGAGATTCAGAGGTAGTGATCTCAATGAATGAGGAGGAGACAAAGAATAGGCTTCTTTTGTCTCCACCTGGGGCAGACCATGAGTGATAGGGGACATAATATTAGGAATAGCTGACATTCCTCAGTGCCTGGTGCTGTCTCAAGTGGTTCTCATTTATCGATGCACAATTCATGATTCTGTTATCATTCTGCCTTGTAGCTGAGGAAACTCAGACAGAGAGAGGCTAAGAAATGTGCCCCAGTTGATAGAACAGGCAGCTATAGACTGCGTCCCTCACTACTATGCTCGAGAAGAGGAAAGGTGATTGGAAGGGAGAGGACTGGAGTGGAAGAAACAGCTATCCCGAGAACTTTCTTTCTCTATCTAAGTCTGTTTTTTCCTAGCATATTTCCTTCTCTCCCTCCAGCTACAGAGATAGGTGAGAAGAGGAATGCTGGTGAGCAGCAGAGTGCTTGAATTTATTTAGTCCAAAAACATGAGACCTTTGTTCAAGTAGGAAGGAACCTTATAAAGATGTGATAATCCACACGCTGAAAAGCAAAGAAACAAACCAACCAAGAGCCGTTTAGGCTGCACATAAGAAAGAGCATGCTAACGACCAGATGACTTCCCAGTTCAAACCCTGCATCACTGTTTCTTCTCTGCTTCTCATTTCCCTTCACTCTGAAAACACCAGCATTTGTAGCAAAAGAAGCTCTCTCAATCACATAATAACGCACAGTGGCAGTTACAGCACTACTTAAGCCTATTTCCCAATTTCTTTTAGACTGGATCTTATTTCTTGTCCTGGAGACCCAGATGGACATGTCCCCTTGGCCAAATCCACTCTCTAAGGAGACTTGGTCTTTTCTGTCCCTTACCTCCTTCTCAGGATGACTGCTTCTGATTTCTGGGGCCCTCTTCTCACTCTTGAGAGGCAACAGCATGGGGATTCTGGGCTGTGACCACCTTTGGGTTCCAGGTGCGGTTCCTGGAGCAGCAGAACCAGGTGCTGGAGACCAAGTGGGAGCTGCTGCAGCAGCTGGACCTGAACAACTGCAAGAACAACCTGGAGCCCATCCTTGAGGGCTACATCAGCACCCTGCGGAAGCAGCTGGAGACGCTGTCAGGGGACCGGGTGAGGCTGGACTCAGAGCTGAGGACCATGCAAGATTTGGTGGAGGACTACAAGAAGAGGTGAGTGGAGAGGCACTGGATAGTTTTGTTACAGATGAGGTTTGGATTCTGAGCCAGCATTTTTGCCTTCTGAGATCTTTTGCTGATCCCACTGAGGCTTCTTTTCCTATAAAGAAGAGAGAGAGAATCAGACAGAATGAGACTTAGGAAGAGAAAAGAGCTACCCCAAATGGTGTTCTGAATTGCCTAGGAAATGGTGTGCTTAATTTTTAACATGGGAAATGGAGGGGTGGGAGGAAGAGAATTGTCTCAAAACCAGATGGACAGCACAAATGGCTTTGTAGCCCCTGCTGAGTGAAGTTTTCTGTGGGAATTCCCAGAACACGAGACACCCCACCAATCCCAGAACAAGTCTTAAAGCTAAGCAAAAATAAGTTTTTAAAACTTTTTTCATGCTGAATCATATCTGTGCTGCTGAATGCCACCATTAAAGCGAATAATTGATAACATACTTGAAACCAGAGAGCATTTCTACCCCCAAGTTGGGCCAATGGAGAAAGAGCGATACATCCGGGCTGAGTGCGAACTGATATTTCTGATATTTGGGCGATTTGCTTCCAGGTGCCAGGGTTTCTGGGGATAGATGACTTCTGCCACATTCAAGGGGCGGAGATGGTCACATCTGAGTAACTTCCTTGTTCCGTGTTTGATCTGCCTGCCCATTCCTATTCTGAAGTCTCCCTAAGGCAGGACTCTGCATGGGGATCCTGAGGGAGGAGGTGACATGGTCCCTGCCCTCTGAAAACACTCAGATTGTGGAGACAGTCTTAAAAAACCCTTTCGGGTAGCTCCCAATCAGTGGAAATAAATCCAGTGTGGATTGAGATTGAGGGAAATTAAAATGGGAATATCGGAGCCCGATGGAGGTTTGAGCAGGATTCTGGAAAGAAGAGAGGGCTGCCCAGCACAGCCCAGATGTCCCAGATGTCAGAGGCATCCAGGGGCTGTGCTGTCTCTGGGCTTTTCAGAGTGGAAACACCATGTGTTCCAGAATTACCACCCACTAGTTGAATGACCATGGGTTAGTCTCTTGATCCTCTGTTAACTTTAGTTTTGATATTTATAAAAATCAGATACTGATACCTGCCTTGCCACCTATAAGAGCAGTTAAGAGCAGTTTAGTGCAGGAGTCCCCAACCCCTGGGCTGCAGACTGGTACCAGTCCATGGCCTGTTAGGAACCAGGCCTCACAGCAGGAGGTGAGCGACAGGTCAAGCAAGAGAAGCTTTATCTGCATTTGCAGCTGTTCCCCAGTGCTGGCATCACCACCTCAATGCTACCTCAAAGCATCAGACATTAGAGTCTCATAGGAACACCAGTCCCTGGTGCCAAAAAGGTTGAGGACTGCTGGTTTAGAAGGTAAAGCCAGATAGTAATGTATTAACAGTTCTCAAAAGAACCAAAGTGCTAGATACATGTAAAGCATTGGTCCCTGTTGTCAGAAGCCTTAGCTTTGGATACTAGATTTCTTCCCCAAGTGGCTTAGTAATTCATGTATACATATTGATTCTTGCAACGATGAGACAGGATTCTAGTCCTATATTTTTTTTCATTCTTATCTAAGTGCTGGGAAACTTTGTTCATTCAGATAGATTTTAATGGAGGGAGTTTTGCAAGAGCAGTGTTACTCAGTTCTTTGAATGCCTTTCCAGTTTTTCTGCTTTTTCTTTCTCCCATAGTACTTGTTATTTTCTAACATGCTATATAATTTACTTGTTTGTTATGTTTATTGTTTCTCTCTCTGCTCCACGAAGGCAGGTATATTTGTTTGTTTTGTTCATCGATTTATCCTCAGTGGCTATAAAGTATCCCATATTTGATATATATATTTCTTAGATAAATCATTTTGTGTCAAAATCACATTATGACTCATTACTAAAGATCATTTTTAACAAGCTGTCAACTGACAACTCAGCTCTTTCTTTTTGTTGAGAGCAAAAATTGAAAAACACCTGACTTGCAAAAAGGATTTGTCAATAAAGTCATTTACCTTTCAAATTTCTGGGAAGTTTTTTTAAACCAGTTTTACCAAGACTGGCTAAATGGCCACTGTTTATATACCATGCTCTGTCCCTTTGGGTAATGTGTTTAATCCAGTAGACCAAAGAAGACTGGGAACATAAAATCATTGTTAGTATTTAATACACTTCTGCAAATTCTTTATTTAAAAAAATAATGTTTTAATCCTACTTTTTATATATGTGTACATACACATACACACATTTCCAAAACTTTAGAGCTGCATATTTAGCTCATTCACTTTATAGAAAACATCTGCCATCTAGCTTAATTTGGAAAGCCAGCTTTCATTGTCAAACAAGAGAAATAAGAGTTGCTTTCTATCAGAAATAGTCTGGTTTCATTTCTAAATTCAAATAAAAATATAAATATGTACTTTGGGGACTATTACAGAATCCACTAAGCAATAAACTAAGAGCTACATCTTGTACAGTAGGTTATTGAAAACATTCAAGATTAAAATAATGTAGATTTAATACAATTAATATATCTATGTTCTAAAACGAGATAAGTCAATATGCACTTTGTCATGATTTAACTTTCAATTATGCATTGTAATGTATTTTTAAAATGATAAGTTATTTATAAAGCCAATAGTACCACAGAATGCATTGTTTCTCTTTGTAAATGTGTGTATGCCCATTGAATTCTGATGTTTGGTTTCTAGAAGTAAATAATGAGAAATTATTTATAACAAATGAATGTCATTAGTTTTGCTAGCCATCATGATCAATTCTTTTCTATGTTTTTTACGAAGTAGAGAGATTTAAACTGCTAAAATCTAATTGGTCTGCAACTAGCATATGCTTTTTCGGTTAATAGGAGGAAGATAAAATTGAATATTTACTAAGATAAAATGAGATAAAGATTGGTTGTAATAGAAACTATTACATAATATAATAGAAACTATTACATAAATAAATAGAAAATATTTCATAATATAATTCGATAAAAGGTTTTCAATTATCTTTTGAAAAATACACATGGAATCTGAGACAAATCACGTAAAATGTTTTCTGTATGTTTTATCCAGTGTAACTAGGAAAATCTGGCAATCTCAGAAAATGTTCCAGTCCCATTTTAAATAACCCATTTCACTAACCTGTACTACTTCAGCCGTTCCACAAAGCTTTTCTTTTTCCTTAGCAGTCAGTGACATGCCTTAGGAAGGAGTAAAAAGCCGAAAAGATTTCCTCATGTTAAAGTATATTTAAAAAAGCCATTTTCTAGCATTAATTATTTCTTTCCAATGCTCTGTTTTGTTTCCTTTCACAAATGTCCTGTAATACATTCATTGACAATAATAAGGGATGGGATAGTGAAGTCTTTAAGCGAAATGATCAACACTCTTACTTCCCTAGTCCACGATATATCTGTATTACGTACATCTCAGCCTCATCTGAACACCTATTTCCAAAACCTTGCTTCACTTGGAACAGAAATACGTATGAGACAGGTATAACATACAGCTCGAAGGCGAGATAGTGTTTTGTTCGGTGCCTGGGAGATTTTGCACTTTGGGCCAATGCACTGTACTACGGTGCCAGATGGCAACGAAATGCGTCTTTCTGCTGTCTCGGGGAGCGGGTGGTTGTGAAAGGAAGGTGGGACAGTGGAACCTGCATGACGACTTCTTCACAGTTGCCTTCCTAGGCATATCCATTTTAGGGCAGACTGAATATGAACTAAGGAGCTGGAAATGTATTCCTTTAAACTTGTCCTTGTCACATCCCCTTGAAGAAGGCTATGCATGTTCCAGGGGTACATGAACCCCCAGTTTGTAGACCATTGTCTTGCTGCTCTTGACATAGGTTATCACTAACTGCTTAGCGAGTGTTTGCAGGACTGAATTATCCCAATGGCCAAACTCTCCCCTTTCTTTGGCCCCATGTAGGTATGAGGTGGAGATTCACAGACGCACAGCTGCTGAGAATGAGTTTGTGGTTCTCAAGAAGGTAAGGGGAGAAACAGGGCAGGTGGAAGCCCAAAGGGCTCCCCGAGCACATCACGGTGATGTTTGTAGGCTGAGGAAAGGGACCTTGTAGGTACCTCCATCCCTTGGGCAGGGGAGACTGGGATTCTAATTTCCCAGATCCTCTCTCCAAGCCTGAGACACACGCTATTTCCAGAACCTACCAGCTTAAAATTCAGGTATTTGCCACACTTCTGGTGCACCATTGCACCGCACATTTGTTGGTTTGCTCTCGGGTATGGGGCCGCCCTGTGGAGCATGGGGTAGGGGGAGTAAAGAGAGTAAGGAACCTGAGGCTCCTTGTGGCAGGGGTAAGGGGAGGGAGGGCAGTCGACCGCTCTCTGTGTTCCCCAGGATGTAGATGCTGCCTACATGAACAAGGTTGAGCTCCAAGCCAAGGTGGACTCCTTGACAGATGAGATCAAATTCTTCAAGTGCCTCTATGAAGGGGTAAGGACCTGGTTGACCTCCTTGTGTGATCTGCCTCTCTTACAAGTAGCTTCTGGCCTTTGGCCTGGATGATTGTACAGACCGAAGGCTGGCAGAGTAGCCTAGCCCCTCAGTTCAGTGCAGCTGACTTTCGCTGAGGCCCTACTATGTGCTGAACGATGAGGTGGGCTTTGAGAAAAACATGATGGAGAAGAAATAATTCCTATCCTCTAGGAATTCCAGTCTGGTAGGGAAAACAGCATATAGATGAACTTTGGGAGAGCAGAGTGAATGGTGAATTCTGCCTGAGCTGTCAGAGAAGGCTTCTGGAGAAAGATGGGGAAAATCTCCATGGGGCATGATGCTCCAGCTCTAAAAAGCAGAACAAGTGAAGATACAGAGGCCTGAGGTGTGCTAAAGCATGAGGAGCCTGCAGAAGGGAAGGTCACTGGTGACTCGCTAGAGGGCTCTGAGTGCCATGTAAGGAGGTCAGACTTGATTCTATGGATGAAGGGTGGCCGTCGCTGCAGAGTATGGAATAAGGGTGGGAGCAGTCCTGAGTGCATGATGGAGAGGGTGGTCTCACATGGACTCAAAGGACAAAGTGTGCATCTCACACCCAGCATGCATTGGCATTGGTGGCTTCTGTGGAAGGAGGGCAGAAAAGTCAGTGAGGAGTTTGCCGGGGAGGATCGAGAGATGTGCTCCCCTTACGGGGACCCCCTAACTTTCCCCTAGGAGATTGCTCAGATCCAGTCACACATCAGTGACACATCTGTCATCCTGTCCATGGACAACAACCGGGATCTGGACCTGGACAGCATCATTAATGAGGTCCGTGCCCAGTACGAGGAGATCGCCCTGAAGAGCAAGGCCGAGGCTGAGGCCCTGTACCAGAGCAAGGTGAGCTGTGTGCCAGTCGTGTCAAGGCCCAGTGACCACATCTGCTGCCCTCTCATCATATGTGCATGAGTGCATGTATGTGCTCGTGTGTTTGCATGTGTGCATGCGTGCATGCATGTGCATGTGTGTGTATTTGGGCTGGGTGGAGATCTCCTTTGTCTTGGAGTTGGGCCTCGTGGAAATGCCTCCCTGTGGTCCAGGGAGATCAACCACAGTCTTGGCACGCGTTGGGGACATGTATGGGCCTTAGCCCTTCCTCTGCTGTGGCCCTTGCTGACAGCAGGAGCCACAGCAGCCACAGCCTTGATAAGATTCTGACACCATTTTTGTGGGTAATCCAGATATCTTGGCTTTTCTGGTTTTCAACTTTGTCAAAATAAGGATAGGGAATTCAAATTCCACCAAGGCTCTCACATTTAAGAACCTGAGGATTCTGCTGAACTGGGTCAGGACCTTCTTATCCAGAAGGAAAGGGTTGTCTTTCTCTGTCTCCTTTCTGCCCTTTCTCTCTCTCTTTCCTCCCTCCCTTCTGTCTATACTACCTGGGTAATGAGAACTGTATGTGGCCCTCCCCCCATGCTGAATGCTCTTAAAAGGTGAATGCTCAGCTATCCTGTTCTCCTCATATCTCATCCCCCAATCTCAGATCCAGGAGCTGCAGGTCACGGCGGGCCAGCATGGGGATGACCTCAAACTCACCAAGGCTGAGATCTCAGAGCTCAACCGGCTGATCCAGAGGATTCGCTCAGAGATAGGGAGTGTGAAGAAGCAGGTGGGTTCCACACAATGAATCAGCTAACAGAATTTATTGAGTACCAATCTGTATAGGACCAAATATGGAAAAAGGTCCCTTTGGGCACTTATAATTCAAGAGAGAACAGTCCACACCCATATAGAAGGAAGAAGCATCCATCCACTGTGCAGCATGCCCCTCAAGTGCTGTAGGAGTCCTGAGGGGCTGGAACTGCCTGCAGGGGGTGGGATTACGCTGGAATAGAGGCAGAAAAGAGAGCAGTAGGGGCCTGGAAAAGGAGCCAGCAGGAGCAGTGGACCTGAGGTGGACATGTGCATAGCATGTGTGTAGGGAGGAGAGATGTGGACTCTGAGCAGAAGGTCCATATGGGTTGGGTGGCAGGGAGCAGGACACCTTTAGGTAGGAAGGGGTGGATTATGGGCTCCTTCAAAGCTGGGCAATGGGGTTTCGAACTGATGCAGTCGGTAAAAGAGAGGTATTAGGAGGTTTCACATGATGAATCCATGCTGGAGGAAGGAGGGTCGGGCTGTGGCTTTTAGAGAAGAGTGGAGAAGAAAGAGCCTCCTACCGTAGCCTTGGCCCAGGGCTCTGCTCTGTGTTTGCCTTTCCCAGTTCTGAGGATGGGACATAGTTTTCCCTGGTTGGGCAACTTAGGTGTTGCCACCGAGGCTGTGAGCCACTCACTCAAAAAGCTGTGGGTGTTTGCATGGCTGGGAGCCTGCCCGGCAGAGGAGGGTGATGGCAGCTGGACAAGTCTAGAATTCTATGCGGCCTCAGGATCATTTGCTCTCCTTGGGGTGAAGCAAATGTAACTCTAGAGGAAGGGGACACATCAGAAAGAGAAGCCAGATACATAGATCTCATCAAAACTTCATCCAAGTGATCGGAACGCACACCCAAAACTACAAGGCTCAGGAAGCTCCCTGCTCCCTGCCCCCAAGCTTTCACGTAGACACCACAGAGCTCCACCTGCAGTTTCCTCCTGCAAGTTATGTTTTCACCAAACAGCAGATGTTTGTAAGCTTGTAAAACCAGTCGGTTTTTTTTTTTTAAGGCTATTGCCATGTAGCATGATTCTCTGAAGAATTTTGGAGGCAAGAAAGTGAGTGTGGCAGATTTATTGAACAGACATTTTATTAATAGGAACTTTATTAGTCCCCAATTTTTTGTCATGATTTACAAGATCCCCTAAAACAACCTTTACACTGTGAGTCAGAACTAAGGTCAGTTACCCGGAGACTTTTCAGGGTTGGCATTAGAATCTTACAGCCAATGTTACAGACCGAAAGAGTGAGAGCAGGCTCCATATGCCCAGGTAGTGCACCTTCTCCGTGCCCTTTCCCTTCTCTCTTTCATGGCAAGAACGCTCTATTGTTATATGCCACAGCATGAGTTAGGGTGAATCATGCCTAGAATTGAGGGAAGGACAGGTTCTCCTCTAGTGATGTCCAAAGGTGATGAGGACCTCAAATGAAGGGAGGTCCTCTGAGCAAGATTTCAGAACCGTTCTCTGACTCAAAGCGCTCAATCTGCTTGCTCCTCAGTGCTCCAATCTGGAGACGGCCATTGCCGATGCTGAACAGAGAGGTGACTGTGCTCTGAAAGATGCCAGGGCCAAGCTAGACGAGCTAGAGGCTGCCCTGCACCAGGCCAAGGAGGAGCTGGGCCGGATGCTGAGGGAGTACCAGGAGCTGATGAGCACAAAGCTGGCTCTGGACGTGGAGATCGCCACCTACCGCAAGCTGCTGGAGGGCGAGGAGTGCAGGTGAGGACCAGATAGATATCTTTTGTCTGGAGCAGCTCTGTCTTTGCCTTAGGAAGACTGAAAGCAAACAGTTTGGTTCTGTTCAGGTCCTACTGAAGTAAAACTTGATAGAAAATGGATTTGACATGATGCAGTAGGAAAGACCAAAGTTAGACAGCAAGAAGAACTGAGTCATAAAAAATCCCAGAGAGGTGTTAGGAGAGGAAGTATTAACATCAGCAATGTTTGAGAAACAGAGCATCTCTGGCCCTTTGTGATGCTTTTTTAAGGGTAGATGGTGGGAGGGGCAGGACGGCCTCCAAGAGTCATATATGTTCAAGGTGGCTTTGGCAAAGATGGGGCCCTTGAAGCTGTGAGCTCATTCCTCTTAATTGTCTAAAACCGAGGGCATCACTAGAGGGAAGTGGAGGCCCAGTTATCCCACACATCAGATAATCCCAAAGCCACTTTGATGGAAAGCTGACTCCTCGTAGCAGATTTTTCATCTTGGTTCTTCATTTCTTGGGAGGTCCTACTGAGTCTTATGGGAAGAAAGTAGTCTGGGATGGGGAAGAAGTTGAGACATTCTGAGAGGAGAGGCTAATTCACAGAGGAGACTCCCTGGATAGATGGGGTGATGGCTTATGGTGAGTTTATCTGTTTTCCTTCTCTCTCTTCAGGATGTCTGGTGAATACCCAAATTCTGTGAGCATCTGTAAGTACCTGTAGGACCCCGTTCTACCCTTGGTCACCTCCTACAAGTCTAAGTTCCTCTAATTCCATGGCACCAAAGAGAAGTCAGAAAACCAGAGTGGGTTCAGGGGAGATTTAGGGACACAAAGAGGGAGCTGGCTTTAGTCACCAAGGAGAAGCCATGGATGGAGAAAAATAATATCATGAAATACAAACATATAACCTGTAAAAAGATCAAATGATACTCAACAGTGTGTAATCCAAGAGTCTATTGTAAGAATAACGCTTAATGGCTATATTCTATTTTTACTGAGGCCAGAACAAAATTAAGGCCCTGAATTGCAGTAAGAGGTTATTGAGGGGAACCTGAAAGGGGAATGATAACTGAAATCACCTCCTCTGAATTGAAAAGCTAGAGAGAGTGCTGGGGAGCTGCTGTCATGTGAGAAGCAGGGACACTCTGGTAGCCTCTTTCTTTAGCAGCAGCACCCGAAGGCCTGCATGAAGGCCTTTCTTCATGTAGGGAAGTTCTCTGATTGAGCCGGTGGAAGCTGAAAGTCCGATAGTGGTAGATTGACACAGACTAACAGGAAAAGTTCAAATACATGGGGCCAAGTACATGAAAAATGATCTGCTGATGAAAATGTCCAAGTAAACTAAAAATACACAATAGAGAGAATCTGTCTCCATGTGAAGCCACCAAAGGGGAGAGTGAAGGAGTGGCCAGGATGCCCCGGGAGTACTGACAGAGTGTCGTCTTCTGCCCATTCCAGCTGTCATCAGCAACACTGGTGCAGGAGGGGCTGGCTTCAGCATGGGCTTTGGTGCTTCGAGCAGTTACAGCTACAAACCTGGGGCTGCGGACGTCAAAACCAAAGGCAGCTGTGGCAGTGAATTCAAGGATCCCTTTACCAAAACCTCTGGCAGCAGCTGTGCGACCAAAAAGAAGGCCTCCAGATGAAGGGCAGAAAGCTCCAGAACCCATCAACCACCTCTCCTCTCCCGGGGTTCTTTTCCAAGTCAGGAAATGCTGCCCCTGTAACCACAATCCCAGTCCCCTCTCCTCCCTGTTGACGTCAGCAGGGGGGCAAGGCTCCTGTGCAGGAAGTCCAATCTTGGGCGCTTGGTGACCTCCTCCTTGGCCATCTTTTACTGGGTCACTGCCGCAAATGCAGAGATAACACACATACCCAGGATGCTTCCTTGCAGCCAGGTGCCGGCCTCTGTGTCCCCATGTGTCTTTCTTGGGCCTTCATCACCAAGGAGCTCTCTTTGTCCTCTGGTTGGGTTCACGTCTCATTCTCTGCTTCTCCTTCAATAAACGCTCAATAAATGCCATTTGATTCTCAGTGTCAGTCTCTTGCCCAGGATGTCGACATCTGCATCATCCCCTCTAACTTTTCTTCTCCTAATTCTTGCTTTCCTCTGGTCTCTGGCCTGACACGGATCTTTGCTGTCTGGTTCTGGCCAGGTAGACTTTGAGCGAGAGCTGCTCCTAGTAAAAGGCTGAGATTTGTTACTGATGCACCTCTGGACAGACTCAGGGCTTCTTGTGCATTGGGGTCCCTATTTCACACACTGGCCCTGTGAGACAGGCATCATCACCCCGTTACAGAGAGGCTCACACCATCCTCCATCCAGTTCTCAAAAGCGCTCCGTGTCCCACACTAATTGCCTCTCATTGTTAGAGTGATTGATCTTCCTTTTTATTCATCTCTTCATTCTCCTGCCAACCCGCCCCCCAATCCTGCTCCACAACACTGGCCTTGCTTTCCTTTTCTTCCAGCCAGATCTTTTTCACCTTAAAGTTTGAGGCCTGTATGTATATGTGTTTATGGATGCATCTGTATTTTTTTATATAGCAGTGGCTCATTGGAAACTCCTTAGTGAGCCAGGCATTGCTCAGGTACTGGGAATGCTGCAGTAAACAAACAGGCACAGACTCTGTTCTCAGAGAGCTTACAGTCTGGTGGGAAGAGTAAAAATAAGCAACTAACAAAGGAATATATAATATGCTGTCGGTAGTGATAACTGTTATGAAGAAAAACTAAGGTAAGAAGGGTGATCTTTTAGGGGGGTGTGTGTGTGTTTCTGCAAGAGTGTTTGTTTTCTTAGACTCAGTTGGCACAGTTGACTTGAGCACAGCGCTAAGGAGCAGAATCCTCAAAGGCGAGACCACGTTCCAAGGATGAGCCTCGTTTGAAAGTGGCTTTCAAGGCGCCCATGACCCCTCCTATTCCTATGTCATTTCCTGTCCTTATGCTCCAGTATTTCTCTAAGCAGGCCAGAACTTTTCAAGCCCACAGACCTTTGCAAATATGATTTTTCAACCATGGGAACTCATGCTCCATTTACTAAAAGCCCGTTTATCTTTTGTGGCCCAGCTAAAATGTCACCTCCTGTGTTCATGCATTTTCTGGTCCTTTCCGGTGGACTCTGTTAAGTCATCAAGCATTAAATGAGAAGGAACATTAGAGCTGCTGTCTCAGCAGCTCTCTCCTGTCCCTCTACTATATAGGGGAGCAAATGCAGTCCCGGATGGCTAAGTGCTCTGCCCAAGTTCACAGCCCCGCACGCCCACAGCACCATTCCTGACTGTATTACAGTTGGTGCTTTATTTTCCGGGTGTCATGTTAGCTGTGCACACATCTGTCCTCTCACCCTCCCCGCTCACAGCTCCTTTTTCCTGGTTCTTCAAGCCTAGCTCACAGTCAGCACTCAACATACGTTTGCCACAGGAATGTGTGGCTTAGTCTAGCTTACCTTCACGGGAGAGAAAGAGTTCAAGGTACATGCATGTCCAGATGATTTGGCATGCAAAAGATGAAACACATTCAGGTTAAAAAAAAATTGCTTTCTATGCATCCATGTGTATGCAGTTTATACGTTTATTAACCAAACTGGGACACTTTTATTCTGGACACATGCTGAATTCGATCCTCAGACGACAGGCATAAGCCAGCACCATGTCAGGCAAATAGCCAGCCCCCTTAGGTCTAGCATACTAGCTGGCTTCAAACCCTGGCTCTTCTAATGGCTAGTGAAGGACCCTGTCCTTGTAAAATAGGATTGACATAAACTGGTACTTATTGAGTGCTTCCTATATGCCAGGTACTGTTCTTAGCACTAACTCTTTTGAACAGTTTATGTCTGTTCAGAATTAACTTGATTAACTCTCCCAACAACCTGACAGGGATTATTGTCATAAGGTGCTATTATAATAATGTACATCTCACTAATGAGGATATTGAGGCTCAGTGGGCTTAAATAACCTGTCCAACATCACGTAGTTAGTAAATGGCAGACTTGGGAGTTGAACCCCAGTCCAATTCCATAGTCCACACTTGAGATAGGACACCACTTGTAAAAATTCTTAATCTTTTTAGTAAACCTAGTTAAGTTTTCTTCTTTTCTTAGGGAAAAAGGCCCTCTCCCTCAAATCCTGATATTTGCTCCAAACTGGTGACTTAGATCCTCTGGCTATTGATAAGGGTCATCAGCCTACTGTTAGCAGAAATGGTGTTAAGCCTTAGAGTCTGAGAGGGGAGGGGACGTCAGGCCAAAGGTTTTTTTTTTTTTTTTTTACTCTTAAAGAAATATATTAACCAAGCCTGTTTCCCTTTACTCACTTAATAAACAAATCAATAATAGAAATTAATAGATATATGATTTAAATAATAAGTTGGTATCTTCTTTTCCTTGTCTAGGGACTAAATAGCACTTTAGCAGGAAACCCAAGACCCTACCCTGACTGAGGCAGAAAAGGAAAGAGCTCCATGAAACTCCTGCAGGCAGGGACTATGGCCATTCTCAGCAGAAAGCAGATACAGAAGAAGAGACCTCCGGTCCCTCAACATCCATGCTAATAATAAGGGGGTTCATGGCTCTTAGATGGAAAAGAATTAGGCAGGAAAGTTAGGGGATTTTGGGTCTGCCTGCAAAGACACTGAGGTTGTCCTATCCTAGAAGGGATCCGTCCTAATCCGCCCACAATTAAGCAAGCCAGAAGGCAGTTTTTAAACTCACACAAAGAAACAAGTAGGCAGAGAATTAGGTACCAGTTTAAGCTAGTCACCCACTCCTACGCACCTACGCAATGAAGACCCCAACAACCTTCAATTTATCTGAGCCTCTTTATACCATCATTATAATATAATGCATATGCCTGGAAGTTCATTAACATCATTATAAGACTGAATTCTGGGAACACATGTGCAGAACGCAAAATGATGAATCATTGAGTCCTGTCAATCAAGGAAGCCCACCCCTCTAAGAAAAGTAACCACCCGCAGCAAATAGGGATAAAAACCCCAAAGGCTTTGTTACCAGGCCTTTTAAGCCAGCCTTCTCTGGCTCAGACCCGCTTCCATTTCTGGAAGTGTACTTTTCCTTCTAACAAAACTTTTCTTTTCTACTGTATTTCGGTGTTTTGCTCAATTCTTTGTTTGAGACATCGAGAACCTGAACAACGCACTGGTAGAGGATCCCCACTCTTGGTAACATTTTCACCTTAGAAGAGAGTTGAGAATGTGAAAAGGGATAATGGAAGAAATACAGTGCTCGGAATACAGTTTGCAGCCAATAGATGTTAGTTGTTATTAAGCGAATTGTTAATGTGTGTTTATGAAGCCTTCTGTGTTTGCCAGTCATGCACTGGTTCACAATCAGTCAATTCACAGCAGGACTGTGCCCAGACACCTGGCTGAAATGTGCTAAGTGCAGGGCAGAGGGATCTGGGTCTATTCATTGATGTACATTCCCATCCAGTTACCAATGGCTGGCTAATTTCCAAGCAGGAAAAAAATAACTTCTCTGTGCCTGTATTTTGTGCATATACTGCCCTCTGTCATCAGATCCGGGTACTGCACTTTCCATCTGCGTGGCCCTGGAGACTTCCCTACAACAGAGAGGGTGTGAAATGATCTTGGACAGGCTCTGTGCCCACTGTGGAGCTGCCAGCTGGAGGAGATGCTGTTTCGTTCCCTGGCATGCCCAGGCTGGTCTCAGCCTCCGTATTGCCCAGGCCCTGGCTCCTGTCTCCTCTCCCTCTCCTCTCTGACTTCTCCTGTCACAGGAGGTGGGTGGGGGAGGGGGGCTGCTGCTGCCCAAACCTCTTCACCTCTAATCAGAGAACTCAGGGCCTTCGGACTGCTCTTTCTCAATGGGTGCCTGAGAATCTTGGTGTTGATCTGGAGGTTCTGAGCGTGAGAGTCCCCATTACTCAGCAATAAGCTCCCCAGCTCCACCAACACTGTGTGTAAACCCCTACAATGGCTCTATGGGTGGGGGTGGGGGTGCTCTAAGTTCTCTCTCTCTCTCTCTCTCTCTCTCTCTCTCTCTCATGCAGTAGATAATCCAGGCATGGAAGTGCTAGCAAAGCACAGCCAAGAGGAAGGAAAGGATCAGAGCTGAACAGACAATCTGGGAAGGCTTCCTGGAGGAGGTGAAAGGGATATGACTTGTTGGAGAGAGGGATCATCTTAAAGACTTTTTAGATCACATTTGGCAGCTGCTCTGAGGTTTGAGCTGCCCTTTGCCAGCTGCCTCCAACCTTTCTTCCAGGGCCTCCACCACCTCTGCCACCTTCTGGATGACAATTGCTTGTAGGATAATCAGTTTGCTTATGACATCATCCCTTGACTCTTAAGTTCACGTTTGGCAAATGCTGCCAGGACCACCAGAGATGCTGAGGGTCTCTTGTCTCTTGCAAACCACTTTCTATCACCCATTCCATCTCCCCTCCCGCCCCACCCTCGCTCTGTCCACACGACATCTCCCAGTAGATGCCAGGGTCCCAATTAGAGGCTTATTGCCTGAATCCCTCCTTCTTGCTTCTAATCAGCCTATTCCCGGGAGGGCTCTCAGGGTTGCAGATCCTTCTTGCTGGAACCCCAGATATAGCACCAACTTCCAGATTAAAGCTGCTCCCAACTCATGACCTGAACCAGAGCCTCATGGATCACAGGG